ACTACTACTACTCGTGCTGCTACTACTACTACTACTACTCCTCCTCCTCCTGCTGCTGCTGCTACTGCTACTGCTACGGCTACTACTACTGCTACTGCTCCTGCTGCTGCTGCTGCTGCTGCTACTACTACTACAACAACTACCACGACGACGACTACGACGACGTCCACTGCTCTACAGTAATCATCGATATGCAGATTTCGCAAATAGCAGATTTCACAATGTGCGTAATATCCCTATCTTATCAATTTTCATACATAAAGATCAATTAGACAGATAGGTCCATCTATATGCATAATTTCTTATATATATATATACACTCACATCTATACATGTATATGTACACATACACACATATACATGTACATGCACATATGTATACATAAGAGTATATATGTATGTATGTATGCATGCATGCATGTATGTATGTATGTAATTATGTATGTATGTATGTATGTATGTATGTAGGTAGGTATGTATGTATGTATGTATGTCTGTATGTATGTATGTGTGATTATATATAGTTATATATAAGTATATAAGTATATATACATATAATAAATACTTATAATTAGATATACATATATATATATATATTTATAATGCACACACACGTATATATATATATACATACATACATACATACATACATACATACATACATACATTGCATACTAAGCGCATGCTGTTTCCGATACCTTGGGCACTGTCGCCATCTGGCCAATCGTGCAGGAGGGCGAAGACACTTTTTGCAACCGACATGCAATATGCGTCCGAAAACCCATGAGCCGCCAGAAACCCCAACTATTTATATCAAGCTTGCAACGTGGTTTTGACAGCGTCCTCCAACTGTGCTTCTCGAAGCTTTCTCGAACGTTGTTTTCTTCTGCTTGCCATGGATGAAAGCAGACGGATGACGCTAGCTTTCACTTGCGAAGCAGAGACGGTGTTGGGACAGGAGCTTCGCGTGGTCGGCTCCACAAAGGAGTTGGGCCACTGGAACCCGGCTTTGGCGCCAGATCTGCAAACTGACGCACTTACATACCCGAGCTGGTATGGTCATGTGGATTTCGATGAAAACAGTGCAGAGTATAAATATGTGGTTTTCGACACACGATATGGCAGTGTGACGTGGGAGCACGGCACCAATCGCCATTTCAGTATTGACTTGGACGGCCACGTCCACACTACAGGACCGGCAGAGCTCCACAGCTCCCGATTTGGGGTTGGCGACTCGTCGAGCCCTCGAATTGTTGTTGCGTCCGAGCGCGCAGTTGAAGTTGCCACAATTCCCGCGATGGAACCGACTGAGATCGTCTTCGAGGTCTTCTGCAACGAGACCGAAGTGGGAGACACTGTGGTAGCCGTGGGTTCCTCTGAGGAACTCGGGAACTGGAAGCCAACTGGTGGCCTGAAGCTGAACACTTCGCCCGAGGCCTTCCCACTTTGGTGGGGGAGCACTCAACTGAGGAAATGTGACGTAGAGTTCAAGCTCGTGATCATCAAGGAAAGCTATGTGGAATGGGAGCCGTCAGACAACCGGCTGCTTCACTTTCCTCCCTCCAGAGACGGGCCGTGGAAAGCCTCCTGCGTGTGGAGCAACAGCCACTGCCAGTTACAACCGCTTGGGACCAGTGACAGGACGAGTGATCGTCAGGCCAAAGAGGCTTCCTTCGTGGCCTCCGGGTCAACAGCAGACGCAGTGGGCCTGCAGGAATTCAACAGCCAGACCAACATCGCACGCCCCTACTCTATGAGTGAAAATTTGCTGGGCAGCACCAACCAAGACGATAAGGCCGCCCTTTTTGACAACAGCAACTCGTTCACGCCGTTCTGTGCCGAAGTGTACGAGGGTCTATTTGACCGGGAACTGATGCGGCGCTTGCACGGGGTCGTCCTCCCAGAGGCCCCAATTCCCCCTGCAGGGACAGAGCTCCTCGATGAACCCAAATTGTGCCTGTGGGCTGGAGCTCATGCCATTTCTAAGGCCCACGGCAACTGCGAGGACGCTCACTTCCTGGCTGCACACAGCATGGGCGTAGCAGACGGGGTCGGTTGCTTCGCGAAATACTCAGAGTACGGCGTCAACGCGGCCGCCTATGCTGCCGAGTTGATGGAGCTCGCCAGCCTTGCTCTGCAGCCCCAAAACCCGGCCTCAGAAAGCCAAAGCCACATGGGCCAGAACGTTGCACAACGTGCTGCCGCAGCAGTGGCGGAAGCGGAGTCGAAAGCATCGGCCTATGGTGGCTCCACCATAGCCGTGCTCTGCCAGCAGGACAAGCACGTAGGAGTTGCTAACCTGGGAGACTCCGGCTTCATTCTGCTGCGAAGATCGGTTCAAGGAATGAAGATTGTATTGAGGTCTGAGGAGCAGCAGCACCACTTCAACTGCCCGTATCAGCTCACTCGCTTACCCCAGGTGCCTAGGTCTCCAAGTGGTGCCCTTTTGCTTTTTCTTTTTTGGGGTGAGTGGTTGGAAAATTGGTATCCCCAGTAATTGGTATTAACCGGCTATTGGGGACCCCGAGGCTCTCATCGACCGCATCGCAAAGAGATCGAAGAAGCCGCTCAATGCAGCCGACAAAGCGTCAGACTGCCAGACATATTCGGCAGAAATACAGTCTGGCGACTTGCTCCTCATGTTCTCAGACGGCTTTTCGGACAACGTGCACGACTACGAACTGCTCGACATTGTAAACCGCGCGCTGCCGCCAGCTCAGGCAGACATGCTGGGGCTTTCGGACCGCTGCACTGCTCCAAGAGTCATCGCGAAGTCACTGGCTTTAGCTGCCCAGGAACGGTCTGTTGACCCCGAAGCCGTGGTGCCGTTCACAGCAACCGCGAAGCGGTATGGAGCCATTGGAGCCGAGAAGGGAGGGAAGGAGGATGACATCACCGTCGCAGCAGCATGGGTGGTCAAGGATCTGCACACAGAGACAGCCACAGAGGCACCTCGCGAAGGGAGCCCTTCCCAGCGGCACACACCGGAGCTTGCGCTCACACTTTTCGAGTCGAAAAGACGCACTCGAGATGGTCGATCGCCGTGGGCCAAGGGGGCCACTACTCTTCCCACTGAGCCCCTCAAAGGCCGTTTTTTAGATCGAGGAAAGCGGGCCGGTTGAACAGGCGGCCCTCCTGTGACTGTACACAGGTAGGTTATGGTTAACACAGTTCACACAGTATGATGACATATAGTGATAATTATGGCATTATGGGGCTTTGAAGCGGTTCACCGGCCTCGCAGCTAATGTCGGCCGGCTTGCTGGCTCTTCACACGTCAGTCTTTCGGAGCCCAAGATTCAGATTTTCCTGGGAGCTGTTGAGCCGCACCCTATCATGGGCCCGTGCCCCGAAACCACCGAGGATTGTAGGAGTCTGCAAATGCCACAATCAGCGGTTTGAAACTTTGTGCACCTCGCCGGGGTCGTCTTTGCGGGTGCATGATCGGGTGCAGGTAGGATGCCCCCCGAAATTCGAAGCACCGCCTTGGGGCGGTGCTGGGACAGCTTCGCCAGCAAAAAGCCGGCTCGAATTCGGATTCCGGATTCCGTAATAGTATCCAATATCCAGACGGGGTGAACCAGTTTGCTCACCCCAAGTCTGCAAGGGAACTGGGAACGGCTGCAGAACTGCCGAGTGTCGTGACGATGCTAACGGCAACCCGACACACGCTAGTAACTGCTGGTAACTAGTATAGCTATGGGGGTCGGAATACTTAATAGACTTAATAGTATTATTATCCCCTAAGTATTCAGGTCCTCACATTAGGCCTGCATTCTGAGCTTGTCCCAGCTCGCTTAAGTTAGACCCTTCTTATTGGCAATCCATGTATACCAAGATTCAGATTTTCCTGGGAGCTGTTGAGCCGCACCCTATCATGGGCCCGTGCCCCGAAACCACCGAGGATTGTAGGAGTCTGCAAATGCCACAATCAGCGGTTTGAAACTTTGTGCACCTTGCCGGGGTCGTCTTTGCGGGTGCATGATCGGGTGCAGGTAGGATGCCCCCCGAAATTCGAAGCACCGCCTTGGGGCGGTGCTGGGACAGCTTCGCCAGCAAAAAGCCGGCTCGAATTCCCAAAAAGCTTTGTGTTGCATGCATGCTGCAAGAAGCTCACCACGCCTCCGCGCAACAGCCATGCATCGCAGTGCCAGTTTTTTGCCAGGGGTCCCCTCGCTACGAGTGGTGCCCGTGGCCTGTTTGATTCAGCAACAGTCATAGCCTTTGAATGAGGCCTGGGATTTTCGTTTCAGATTGCGAATTGTAGGTGTGGAAGAGTTCCTGACTTTCTCCCGCGGTTCGTCCAGGCTTTAGCAGCGTTCTTCCCCGGAACTAGAAGCCTTGCTCTTCACGGCATAACTGTAGGGCTGCTGGCCGCGAAGCACGCCTTCGGCATGGTGCTATACATCTTTTGTTGCAAAAGCTCGATTGTAATTCATCAGAATTTCCAGACTCATCTTCATCCAAAATGAAATAGAGAGGGGAGCTCCAAACAAGCTTCCACCGAGAACATCCCTGGATCCTTTGCAATGCCCAGAACAGGAAGCGACGCTGCCAATTCAGCAGGTCCGGACCACAGCGCCGGCCCCTCAAAGAGTGTCTGTTTGTGAGCCTCGGTTTTCGATGTCCTGGTCATGCTTACCCAGTTTCTTGGTGCACAAGACATGAGTTCAGTGTGCAAGGTAAGCTAGGTTTGACATGAACTGAAGCGTAATTACCATGAACGTTTTGACCTACCTGGTATAATATACGGCCTTAAACATGTCTGATAATAGTATTGTATTGTCTGAGAGTCACTATATATTTATCTTTGCCAGAAAAAAGAGATGGAAATGAAGGCTCCGCCTGCCAAGGAGCGCGCAGTCCTGGACAACCTGAAAGAAAGTTGTTTAGGGTTTAGGATCAACACCAAAAGCAATTATAATTTCTCACTTCCTCAACAGAAGGGCTTGAAACTTTATGGTGATACTGGTGTAGTATAGATAGGAAACTGACCGGTCTTGCGGCCTAGTGCTAGAAGACGGAAGATTTTGGGCGCCGGCAAGTTCAGCAAGGTCTGAAAAGAAGCTGCCTTCCCCGACGCGGTGGTCGGACTCCGCGCCTCTCGTTGTGCCGGCATGTTGTTTCAAGATTCTGAGCTTCACATCCTTACCCTGAGCCCTACTTCCGATCCGGAGCCTGCTATTGATGAATCCCCGGTTTCGAGAGCTGGTTTGGAAAAGCTTGGCAATGTGGCAATAAGAATTCAGCGACAGGCCCTTGGCCCTTAAACCTACAAGCTGCAGGCCCTGAATCTAGAGCCCTCGAAGTTTTGTTTGATGCAGAAGCTCGGCTCAATGCCCTGAACCCCTCAAATCTCCGACCCATCATCATCCAGTCACTATATACCTCAACGCCCCGCAACCGAAGCCGGAAACCGTCAGCACTGGAAACTGCTAGGGGTCCTTGCACCGTGCCACACGAAGTTCGACGACGCTCCAGGACTTGTTGGGCTTGTTTCCGTTTTTAGGGGTATGCGGTTTCCTTGGAGCATATGCGGAAATGTGGCTTTGTAGCGTCGTCATCATCATCATCATGGCTGTTGGTTAGATGGAAGGGTTGCCACTATCGGGTGTTAGCAATATTTTAGTGAATTCTTGTGGCGACCCATGTATGTATATATTTATATATTTACATACGCATGTATATGTCTACACTTACTGTATACATTCATATGAGACATGCATGCGTGTGCCCCTGAACCGCCACATGTGACGTTGGTGTACGTAATATCTTAAAAACACAATCAAAACCATCAATAAATAGGTGTGTATATATATATACACATATCACATGTATGTCGATACTTACATACATACATACATACATACCTACATACATACATACATACCTACATACATACATACATACATACATATATGTATATATATATGTATAGATATGCACAGCATGCGTTCCTTCACCGGATGGATGGATCGATGGATGGATGGACGGATGGCTGGATGGATGAAGTTTCGTGTACATGTGTACTGGATGGATGCATGCATGCATGGATCGACAAACATCTGACGGATTGACGCATGAATATGTGCAACTCAGCGCACTTGTGGCGAAGCGGCTTCAAAGCCTTCCTGTTTCCCCAAATTTCTGCCTCGCAGCCTCAACCGCGCAATGCAGCAGGGGTAGAAACACCCTGGAACGGGCTCGGATACATTACTAGCAACAACAGCAATCATAATGGACACAATAGGTTCGGATGTAGCACAAATATCAATAGCACTAACCATAGAAGCAATAAGAACAAATGGTAATCATCAGAATCATAATAACAATATCGATGACAACCAAAATAAACTAAAATACTATAGCACCTCATAAGCACCGGGCCTCAGAGGACCACGTGCGTGGTCGGAGCCCAGAAGGCAAGACGGCAAGCCTGAGTAATTATGTTCTAGATGTTTAGGGTTTAGGGTTTAGATGGCTCCACGGACATGAATTTTTCTGCAGAGGCCAGGAGCCGCAAGGTATTCACGCTTCGAACTTTTTCAATCGGCGCCCGCTTTTGCATTGGGGCAAGTTTCAAGCACCAGGGCTTGTGGTGCGTCAGGCGTTAGATTGAGGGTTGCGGGTTCGAACAACGATTTTGGCATGCAAGGTCCTGTAGTATGATTGTACGTACAGGCTTCGATAGACTTTCGGTATGTCATTGCGGTTGCCGTGGGTCTCGCTGTGTCCTTGACATCGAACTTCGCTTTCTAACTAATTGTGGTAAGGTTTTCCGTGGATATGTGGGGGCTGCGTGAGAAGAGATTCTGCTGATGGACGACAGTAGTTCCCCAAATAACTGCTATGCCATGCTTCCCGACCATAGATTATCGCACACGCATTCCTTACCAGGTTAAATTGTGAGAGTCGAAATCCTATTCCATGAGTGGGTTTGGCGCCGAAGCTTTCAAGCTTTCATGTCAGGGCTTGCTGAGGGCCGCTGTGCAGAGTATGGGCTCCGACCTTACCGACTTGACGCCAAAGATAAGCCTGAAATCCGCTCAAGAATTGTTGGGTGCTTACATACGTGCATGCGTACATTAATATGACGTACACGCGCATACTGACTATGTACTGATGTGGTCATGCATATGTGTATGTATGTATGTATGTATGTATGTATGTATGTATGTATGTATGTAAGCAAGTATGTATGTATGTATGTATGTATGTAGGTATGTATGTATGTATGTATGCTTGCATGTATGTATGTATGTATGTATGAATGTATGTACGCAGGTAGGCAGGTATTCACGCATGTGTGCAGGCATACAATGACATGCGCGCACACACAAACAAACACACACACACACATACATATTTACATATACATACATACATATATATATATATGTATGTATATGTATATGTATTCATAAACGCACATGCACACACAGAGAAATGGAGAGAGTGATCCATAAGCCTGCATTCATTAATTAGTGCAAAGATGTATGCGCGCATGCATTTGGACAAAAACATCAGCATATACGTATAAGCACAGATACCCATCTGTGTACATATGCACATACCTATACCAATACCCATACCGGTACCTACACGCAACCGCATGCACATTTGGGTGCACACACATACATGCATGCATGCATACATGTGTGCATACACGCATACACACATACACGCGTACAAATACATGCATGCCGCCTACTTACACACTTGCATACGTATGTATGTACGTACATAGTAATACTACGAACAATACAAGGACAAAGCGAATGATAAGCGAGCAAGCATGCATACATTCATACATGCAGCAATACATATATGCATACCCACCTACATACATACAGAAGTCACATACATGTCCATGCCTATGCGGTACTTCCTATCGTAACTGCCTTGTGATCTCTTGTCAAAGTGATGGCCGCAGAATGAGTCTTTGAGAGGGGATGTTTGCGCCTGCAACTGTGGAGCCAGGGGTCAACCTCCCACAAGAGTGTCTGTTGGAATGATTGTGATCATCGTAGTAGCGTTCGTTTTGCATCAGTTTTTTCGCACACAGATGGATCAGTAGATCGCCACCGCTCCACCTTCCAATGCCCTGGATTGCTTCGAGGAACGGTCCGCACCATGCCTTGCTGCTTACAGTAGAAAGCGCCGTTATGGACATAGATGCTTGATCTCGTTTCATAGGCTTCTTCACCAATGAGGCAAAATCCAAGATTCAAAGTAGCACTCGAATGCTCTATAGACTCTAGTCCAGAGCATAAGCAGTCCTTAGGGGCTCAAGTGATAGCCAATCTAGTAGCTACTAGACATATCCGCGACCAAGCCCCCCACCCCCTCTTAAACCCTAAACCCTTCCCCTTATAAAATCTAAAGCAAAGCTCACGCCTTGACCTTAGGAAAGCGCCTTTGTTCTCCCCGCCGGCCCACGCCCGTTCCGTGACGTCTCCGCCAGTCCAAAGCGAGATGCCCAGCATTTACATGAGTTTTAGATGTACGTACATATACTGCGTGAAACATATGCATATTTACAACTCGTCCCGATGTCAACTGGATGCTTCTTGTTCACGGCTTCAGCAGAAAGGGGCAGGGCACCTTTCCGTTCAGCCTAACTTTCGCTGACAAGGACCGCATAGCTTCTTGGGGCCTGAAAAACACAGAAATGTCCCGTTGTCATCCCTGCGTAATTATGTTATTACCAACCCTGTAGTAACCTCGAATTAGTATGGTCGGAGGGAGGGTCTCTGGTGTTCCGCAAGATCCCAGAAGCCGTCTGGGGTGTAAGGGCTTTTAGAACTAACTTGAGATGGAACTGGGGCTTTCAAAACAATCCTCAGGGGTTGGCCTAGGGGGAGTTTCCAGGTCTTCTTATCTGAGACTCCCATTATACTGGATTGGTGACCTAAGAAAGGACCCTAATTTGTTTAGTTGTTTAGGGGCTTACGATTATTTTAAATAACTACCTATGTTGCTGCCCCTGGTTTACGACGTTACTGCGCAAGCTCTCCCCCGCCAGGCTACAACACCACGAGCTCCGTGGAAGACTCTTTACGCCTGCTGATGTCAGCACAGTGCCAGCCCAAGTTCCTACATTCAACCCCTTCAACCCGCTGCAAGCAGGTAAGCTGTGATCAATGTCCACCAGGACGGCAAGGAGTCCGCAAGGAAGCATACTTCTACAGAAGCTCAAGGTGCCAAGAGAGTTTTTGCTTGGAATTTCTCCAAACCCTGCCAATAGAAGCGGCCTTGAGCGGTCAACATGTTAAACCCGTCCAAACCCAGTATCTTCATCAGAGACAGCGCCTTGAAGTTCAAGGATGAAGACTTGTTCAGGCGGGTAGTGGATGTCCTGAAGTAGATGCGTGCTCTGTGCGCATCAGTGTTTATGTGCATCCTCGCGTAATGGTTGTCAGGCTTCGAGGGTGTGTGCGTGTGTGATCCGATATCTCACTGGACAGGCTTCACTTTTTCCATAACGTGAAGTTTTCGTTCGGCCATGCTGTTCCCGACGCGACCCTCTCATCATAACCTATTTCACTAAGGGTGGCTTTAGGCTGCATCCCTCCTGTTATACGCATGGTCGTTGCAGTATCTGCAGTGAGCTTAGTTCTGCAGAGACGTCTACATCGCCTAGCATTTGCGGCTCTGGAATAGAAGCGAGACTGGAGGGACTAGATCGAACACCAATTTAAAAGTTGCGGCGCGGCCGCAATCGGGGCTCGCACCGTAGCAATTTGGTAAACATTAGTGCTTGTAAGCTGCGGAGATTCCATTTAACTTTGACTCCATCCCGCATGGCTGTGTCACGCCGGCTCCACCCCGTGGAACAAAGCCTGGCTTTTCCGAATTGTGATAGCGTATACAGCCCCTGAACCCTAAACCCCAGCCCTTAAACCCGAAACTCCAAAACCCAAAAACACAAAAGCCTAACCCCGAACACATCGCCAAACCCAGGCCCCAGACCCTGGCAGAAGTGGAGGCCATCGAGGACGCCGCCTCTCGCCTCGCTCGCTGGGTCGAAGACTCAGGGCTCTTTAGTGAGTTTTAGGGCCTGGGAAGGTAACCTTTAACCTTTTGGGGCTTATATAATCCTACTATAATTGAAAAGGTTACCTTTTTTGGGCTAGGGTACTCAGCCCCTAAGGAGTAAACACGGGTGGAGAGACCTCAGAATAATTGGAATAGGGATCGGGGTTAGCTGTGCTGAAAAGTTTCTATTCAGGAACCTCATTGACTATTTAGCATAATCAGGGAGGCGCCTGTATTTCTTACATAGCAACTTGTAGATTGTAGTCAGCGGTGGGCTGCTCGGGTTTGGGCTCTTTTCCAGGTCCTATGCTAGTATCGTGTGCATTTATGGAAGAGGTTTTCCGGATGATGACAGTACGAGCAATGAAAGCAAGTGTAGGGACAATGCCACACTTCTTTAATCCAAGTAAGCACTGTGACGCAAGGCCGGGCTTGGACGTTTAGGTTGGGTAGGCCTGGCGATTGAGGAGGGGTGTCTGGAGCTTTCAGGGCCGGATGACTTGGTAGAAGCTCCCGAGATTGAATCCCAGCAAAACTCTAACGTGATGGCCTCTCATGCTTTGGAGACCAACAAAGCCTTCACAACAGATTCTATGTAATTATATCATGATGCCTTAAACCGTGTTGCAATATACGATGCTGCATACTATTGTGCATTGCCCACGGGCTCTCGGAGCGGAGGCCTCTGTGTGGTCGTTATCCTGGTCCCCAGTGGTCGTAGGAGGGTGGGAAGTAACTGATGGATAGCAATACCAAATATTATGTAGTCCCGAAATTGCTTACTTGTAGTACAACATATTGCAGAACCTTATCCAAATTTTGAAGGTCCCTCTATATTGGATTCGGGCGCCAAATCCTCTGCAGCCCTGCGTGGGTAGCTGAAAAAAACTACCTCGTACAAGAGGGTCCAGATGATGCAGCCAGGCCATGCACGGCAAGCTCCCCAAGCACCTTTGGCACTTGCCTTGGTGTTGTTGAAGCTTAGTAGATGTAGGATGCGAATCGTTGAACCGTGTCACGCGGGCCCATATCGTCTCCCCGCACCTCTCCGTGAGCGTATGTTACATTGTACCAAAGTTCTTTCTTTCCAAGAATCCCTTCAAAAGGAGCCGGGCGAGAAACTAGATGATCTTGCGCCCGAAGCTAGCGACTTCCTCAGTAAGAGCGCGTAAGCTAGGGCTTCAAGCACTGTCCTTGGAATGGAAAGCTTCCATGTGGATTCATGCTTTCTCCTGGGTTGATCGGACCCGAAAACTTCAACCCCGAACCCAGTCTTTGTGTGTAGAATCTCATGCAATCTGACTGCGAAAGGTGAGGCCTCGTCTGGCTTGTACGAGTTGCGAGCGCATAAGCCCAGCGTTTGTCGGAAATTTTGGAAGGGAGCGTCCACAAGAACATCAGTCTTCATTTGCTTTGGATACCGAGTTTGCAGGGACGTGACAGATACACGCAGCATCGGGACATCGGTGGCACCAGTTTTTTGGCTCCGAGATCTGCAGCACAAGCCTGTGCAGGGAGCAAGCTCGAACGGTCATGGGCGGGTTGGTTTGGACAATTAGCCTCTCCGGTATGTGGCCACGTCTCACTAGGCTTCTTTACCCACAGCTCTGACTATGAGAAGCAAAGATGCCTGTCGAAGATTTGGTGAGCCTGCCTTACACATGGGCACGATCCTCATGCTTGGCAGAAAACAAAAACCCTCGGCAGGCTATAAGGATTTCTCAGCCAAGTGCACAAGGGAGCTGTTCAGCCCCAGGTCTGAGATGGGGTGTTTGCATCAGGGTTTAAAGAGGAAGCAGGGTCTCACCTCGGACGCTTCAGCCCTGATTTCATGATGGCTGGCTGGAGCGAACTTTGAGAGCCATTCTTGGAAACTCGGCAAGAAGACATGGAATGTTTGTGTTAGTCAGGCTCCGAAATCCCAAGCACCCCACTCTGAGGCAGAAGATGGACCGCACTCTGACCACCTTCTCGGCCACGAAAGGCGGCCTTGATGATAAGCTCTGTGTCACCGGACCTAGCAGTTTGGGGTGTTGGGGCGTGGGGCCTTGGGTTTAAGTGGATTCAGGGTTTAGCTCAAGGTTCAAAGGCGTTGGGGTGCTGAAGTAGTTGTAGTAGGAGTCGAGCAGCGGTCCTGTCTGTTCTTCTTTCTTGTTGCAGCTGGTAGTAGCGGTTGTCGTTCATTTTTTTGTCATGGTCGTCGTGGTGAGTAAATATGCATCCTAAGTCCTCGGACCGAGTAGATGTAGCACCAAACAGCTTGACAGTGAGAGAGCCAAATGATTGGTCTAACCTCCCACGACTGAACATCCACATGCTTGGCACCCTCAGCAAAACCCCAGATGCCATGCCGCTACAAACCCTAACCAAACCTAAACATAGACCTCAACAATGCGAGAGGGAAAAAACCCTAAACTCTACAGATTCCGTCGAAGGTGCAGTACAGCACCAGAGTCTAAAGGAAACCTCCGACCCTCCCCAAAACACTACACGGTTTTAGAGCTTAAGATTGTTTAGGGTTTAGGGTTCAGGGCATTATAGAGTCCTTAAAGCTGAGATGCGGAGCTTGCGTCGAACCTGGAGCGGCAAGCAGAGGAGCAGGTGCTGGCTGGGGAAGTGGAGGCTGCGGCCCCTTCGCCCGCAAAGAGATGTCATGTCAAGGGAGGCTTATAATAGGGTTTAGGGTTTCGGTTTCTGTAACCCAAAATACAACTTCGACTCGACCCTTCGAACCTCGCGCCTTAGCTTTTTTCATCAATGAGGCTATGCAAGCCTGCTGGACAACTAGGAAGGCCAGTCCCAAACCCAAAACCTGAGCACATGGGGTTGAGACCCCAGCACATTCCGAAGCATCATGAGTTTCTGAAGAATTACCCAAGATGCTTGCTCCACAAGGCAGATCTTTACGATCGGGCCCTTCGCCTTCGCATCGACGGCCGCTGCCCTGACGTGTTCCTGACTGCAGAGGCCCTGGCGCGGACGAGCCACTCGGATCAATGCTTTCCGAATATGGAGATTCGGGTTTCAAGCAGGGTTTAGTTAAGGGTTCCGGGGTGGGCAGTCTTTGTTCATGAGCAGCAAACCGGTCGAGGCTGTCAGGACAGTAGCAACGGTGTTCGGAGATTAAGGTTCCAGCAGTAGGCTTGCATGGGGTTCGAGACCAACGTGCACATTGAAGCCTATGGTTTGACACACTTTTTCTGCTACATGAAATGCGCAGCATTCCGACTTCCGAGTGGGGCATTGCCAGGGCTTCTGCTGTTAGACTACTGGAGACTTTGGGTTTTGGTCAAGGCTTTGATAATGAATCCTGCTCGGTTCCATTACCACCAACCTCCAGGACTCGAGAGGGCCTCTGGTATCGGCTTGTGTGAGCCTGAGGGTTCCGGTGGAAACTTTACGTCGCCTGAGCCGGCGAATCCTGTCACCCTATAAACCTTAAACAAGCAGGCAACGAGGCGTGCTGCCAGCTTTCCGGTAGCCGGGAAAGGCTGCTGCAGGTGGGGCTCTATGGATTCAGAGTTGCGGGTTTCTCGCAAAAAGGAGTCCAGGGCAAGAGAGTGAACGGTTGCGGTCAATGTGGGCTTTCAGCACCGAAGGGTGTTTGCCGCATTGTCAGCTCAGAAGCCCCACTTCCCAAAAACTCGCCTTGTCTGTCGGCTAATGCGCACCGACTCCCCCAAAATGCTGCAGACAGAAAGAATCCTTCAACAACAAGGCGTTCGTTTCGACCCAATCCGCGGGCCATCACAGATGCCCAGGTCCTAAACTGAAACACGATGTTGAGGGTTTTGGTTGTTCCCCTTTCCAGGCCGAGCGTCGCTTGCAAAGAACGCTGTCCATGCCACTTGGTGTGCAGTGTGAGCGCCGAGCGTGTTAGATCCTGCTGGGAGGTCCAGTCAGTTTTCGCAGCGCACAGGCACCTTTGTATCAAAGGGCTTCGGGCTCCTGTTTAGAATCTGGTCATCTCATCATATCGGTGGCTGATCACCCATTGCCACCTGCGGTTCCATGACATGAGCCGATCTTGAGGCTGGATGAGATCCTGGATGCACAGTCAGGCGTGATTTCCCGCTGCAGGGCTTGGTATGTTGTGATACTTGTACCTTCAGTCAGCTGTCCTCCCAGTTTGTCCAGCCCAGAACTTTCCGATGCTGAGTGCCTTGGCTACATCCGATGATAGACAGCCCCGGAGACAACTCTTCGCCTTTGTCAGCCGGATATAGTCCTTCCCTATAGGGACCCCAAGCTTCATGTCAACCCTTACCGTTTGCACGAATCTCCAATGCATGTTGAAGACGTTGGTTGCTCAGTAATAGTCACTAGTCGATGGTTGAGTATGTATTCGTGACTGCAACAAATACTCGTGGAGTTAGAGGGAAACATGATTAGCAAAGTAGCTGTTATTTAATTTATGGGATAGTTTAGTATGTTATATTAGCAAAGTAGCAGTTATTCATGGGATAGTTTAAACTGGTAATGTTTAGTGACGTTTTGTGCCTGGCACCAGGTGTCGGACCCTCTGCTGCTCCTCTGGTCTCGGGCGTACACCTCACGCCGCCCGGCTCAGCCGAACCCCTCGGCCAGTTCCACGAGCCAAGCCACAGAGAGCCCCATAAATCATAGTAATATACCTTAAATCATAATATTAAGCCGCCTATAATTTAAGGTATATTCCTTAACTAAGGGGTATTGGGCTCTCTGGGACCTCTAGATTCTCTAGATCCGCAATTCCCAAACCCGTGAAAATCTTGAAGACCGCTGGAGTAAGTCATCTCGGCATCAAGGCAGACGAAATACCCCGAAACTGAGAGCGAATCCCAGAGCTGCCGAGTCTTTCGAACCTGGCAGCTCTTCACCTCCGCGCCGGCCGAAAGGCCCCGCAAGCGTGTGCTTCATCGCGCTAATCATCGATACAGTGATTCGCAGCTCAGAATTCTACTGATACTTGCAGGCTTTAAGGTTTTGTTTGTCGGCACTGTGGTACTTGAGGGGCAACTCGTACATGCTGCGGGACTGCAATGTGAACTTTGGGAGTTTAGGTTCTGTCGCTTGTCCGAACTGAACCTTCAGGGCTTAGCCACGCCTCGCAAAACCGCGTCCTCAACCACAACAGAGATTCTTGCCGCCTTGTGAATTTAATGGCGATGTTCTATCACCAGCCTTGGTGAATGCTTGTTGGGCAATCGTGCGCAATATGGTTCTGTTAAGCTCTCTCCTAATCTACTACTATGGATGCGACTCTGGCAGTTTTGGGTAACAGCCAATCTGGAAGGAGATGGCTTTGAAGCTCCTCAAGGAAGCAGAGGTGGGGTCATGAGATGAGCTTTCGGAAAGTTAGACTTTACGCGTTTGCTAGCAGCTAGCTGGGGATAAACTTTTATATATAGTCGTAAGGCTTGTAAACCCTGCCAAAAAAATCGCGCCTGCAGAGTCCGAGTTGCGAGAGTCCCAAACCCGAAGTCCTCTGTGCGTTTGATCTGCTAGTGTTGCCAGGGTCCGGTCCGAGTCAGCACATCCTGGTTTAGGGTTTAGGGTTTCGGATTTGCCAAAAAGGGCGTTCAGGAGATTAGGCTTCGTTGGCTTGGACTGGACCTGCCAACGCCAAAATCTCGAATGCCACGCGAGGGTTTCCACAAGTTTCGCAACTCGCTCTCTCCACCTGTCAGCATGGTCAGCATGGCCGAGCCAAGATATCATGATCATGGTATATTATGGTCCATGGTTTACCTTACAGTCTTTCATAATATATATATATATGTGTGTGTGTGTATATATATATATTATATGGCCAGGTTGACATGGCGAAGCCTGCTTCCCCATCCCTGTCGAAGCTACCCCTCTGACGGTGGTGAACTTAAAGCTGGTTTCCACAAAAAAGGGATCACAAAAGGGCCCAAGCGCCCTATCATACCGTCTTTATGGTCGTTATAATGGTGGGTACTTAGCAGACTTAGCATATTATAGATGATGGTTGGGGGTCTAAGTCTAGGTACACCAAAACGCTTTTTTGTTACAGAGCGTTCAAGGGCCCACGTAGTTCTGCTGGCTAGCATTTCCCGAAGAGAACCAGAGATGTCCGGTGGACCCCTCTAAGGAGCTCGGACCATCAATCCCCGCTGCAGAGGCCACATGGACGCAGCACATCAGTCGCTTGGGGTCTAGGGTGTACTGGCTTCAACGAGAATTGCGTAGGTATAATCTAGTGAGTCTAGTGCCCTCTTCAAGAATTTCCGCAGTGGAGCTTCGACCCTTAAGGTGGCCACTGGCCTTAAGTTCTGTACTTCATAGCCACATGCCCCACTTCTAAGGCCAGCCGGGCAAACATGATTTTAATCAGGATCCCTGAGGAATAGGATTGGTACTTATTCATGCTTCTGTATTACCCACCCTAGATTCACATCAGCCTTAGTGATCGCGCAGGAAGCACTGAAACCGGAAGCCAACAAAGCCAAGCCTTTTAAAGGGTTCAGGGTTTAGGTTTTTTCAGGGTTTAGGGGCACACACTTGACCCTGCACCTGCCAGCAGAAAAGAGGGCGTGCTTGGGCTGGTAGAGGATTCTTGAATGTTTTCTTATGCTCAGAGTGTGTTTGGTTGAAAGTCCAAGCTTTGCTTCGGTTACTAGTGCCGCGAACCTATAATATAATATAATATTCAAGTTGCAAACCTCGTTGAGGCTGCCGCCACGCAGCTCAGCCTGTGCGCTCTCCTCTCCGGGCTACGGCGGCATATCGAGGTGCAGAGCTGTATGGGGTCCTTATAAGAGAGCCGGGTCCATGGCCGGCATTTCACGGACTAATCCCCAATTCCGCGTTCAGATAGAAGCGCTCTGTGGCTTAAGACAGAGATGTGGGGGAGCGAGCGAGATTAGAGCTTCGGGGTTGGTCCAGGTGCCGAGGTCCCAGATAGGCCAAAGCTGACCCACAGTCCAAAGTCCTGCTTGACCTGCACCTCTAGGGCCCTAGGGTCCGTCGTTTTGATATCATTTCAGTCGGATCAGTCGGAGCCAAGTGACAGAACCCCTACACGCGATGAAGCCCACCATTCGGAAGGCGGAGAGGCATGCTTCCGAGGCGGGCCGGGTTTCCGCTGAGTGGCATGGGCCTGTCGAATTCCGCTGGCACACAAGACCGAATGAGTATCTTCGAGCCCCCCTCGAGCCGAATGGCCGTCTGCTGTTCGGACTCTCCAAACTGGCTCAAGTTTCTAACTCTCACACATCTGCCAGGCCATCTCTTTGGGCGAAGCCGACATCTTTCAGCCTGCCGCCAGCAACCCAACAGACCCGAGCCCTAATAGCTGAGTGCAACGAAGATCTTCTCGGAGAGCAGCCTTAGTTCCAGTGTTCATCCTGTGTAGTAAGATTCTCTGACACTTCATCGGTTATCCAGCTTCAGCGCTAGAGCCGTTCGCAGGTTCTGCATGAATGAATTAAAGCCGCTTGCAGGCAGAACAGCCCCCTAGGAGGCACTGTAACAAGAATCAGATAACTCCTTTCTGGCTTCGGGCTCGAAGTTCCAACAACTCCGAATTGGGAACTTCGCAAAGCCAGCAGGCATAGTGACTTCGCTCGTCGAGGCCGAAGCCATGAAGCAAAGAAGGGAACCTGGGAGCCTTGCAGCATGTATCATATTATGAAGAATACTAACAATGATGGTACTAGTAATAGTAACTAGTAATAATAGCAACAACAATAATAAGAATAATAATAGTAACAACAACAACAATAATAATAGTAATACTCTGACCCGGAGAAGACCCCCTCCAAACAAAACGCTCTGAGCCTGGCCTCGGCGAAGACTCAGGCTGCAGAACTCCAGCGAAACAAGCGCGTCGCTTCTCCAAGACAAGGCCTGGCTTCAGGCGAACTCTTAGCAGCTACTAGCAACAAGGCTAGCGGCGATAAACTTTAAAGTAAGCAGAAGAATGCTAAAACTACTAGTAATTAAGAATGTTCTTTACGTTTGAGGGTGCCGGTTTCGAGGGTTGATGCTGGGTTCTCCAGACCCCCGATGATACATAACGGGGATAGAAAGGCATCCTGGCATTGTGGCCCCCTAGAAGTGGGGGGGGGGGCTCATTGGGATGTCTACCTGATTCTGCATTGTGGGCCGTTGAAGTACTCATACTGCACTGCAAGAGTTCTGATTACTAGACAGCACCGCAATCCTCAAAGCGATGATCATGACTCTCAGACGTTTGGGGCCTGGGGTGGATCCAGCGGCCGAGTACACCGTCACACATCGTTGGTGGTTGGCAGTTCTCAATGACGTTTCCATGGCGACCCGTGTCCGGATGCTGTACGATGAGTTTCTTTGTACTCATGTCCGGGATCTTTGTACCTGGGCATCAGTCCCCAGTGAACTTTCCTTGCCGTTTTGCATGAAGCACACGCGTTGTAGCTATTCTTGGAGGCCTCTACGCTTGCAGTCGCCTACAACAATCTGGCTGTGTCTGGCATGCACTGGTGCTCAGTAGCCTGTGGCTCAGCCCAAAACGATAGAGCTCCAAACGCCAGGAATCCGGGAATCAAGTGAAGTGGTCGTCGCAGGTGGGTCAGGAATGTTGCAGACCTCGCAGAGATCCGTCCCTTCCTCTAACTCTACAGTACAAACCCTGCTCATCATGCCCAGCAAGCTGTCTTCGGAGAAGCCGCATGGCAGTCTAAGCACTGTCTCCCTTGCAACACGATCCATGTCTTCACTGTCAGCAGTGGAGGTTTACGGCCACTGTGCTCAGCTTGTCGCACCGCCTTTTTACTACACGGCTCATTGACAAGCTTGACATCCTTACAAGCCAAGGTTCAGCGAGAATACCTTGGCTGCAGTGATTGTTTGGCGCTCTATGAGATCCATGGCACTTCTTCGGAGGGAGAGGGGAGGTCTCATTGTTCCCTCAGCGGCTTCGTACTTCTGAAATGAACGGCTGCATGGTGCAGCAATTGGCATGTCTACATGTCAGCGGGGGCAAAAGGCAAATGTCGTCTCCTAAGACAGAAGACATGACTCCCGTTTTTCATGCATACAGGCGCGAATCGCAAGCAGCGGCTGGGAAGAATGCGTAGATGCTTTCCATGCGCCTCAAGCCCAAACTTTACTACCATAGTCATCATAGAGGAACCCCAAAGGAATAGTATCAGCAACTATTTGGACACCTACAGTATGGTCCTACGCCTATACACCCTGCTCAGCCCGAACCTTGGCATGTCTGATTTCGGGAGCTCCGACAAGGAAGGCCGTCGTCCTTGCCGAGGGCTACATGTCCAAGGACAGCCAGCTCTTGGCGTCGCCTTGCTGTATCAAGATGGGTGCCTTTGGGTTTTGGACTTATGGTTTCTGGTGACTCGATGAAGGGCTTAGTTTTGGGCAAGAAGGGGTTGGGGAGTGGGAAGAAGGCGTTACACGGTGGAGGGGTTAAGGTTGACTGAAGCAGCACGTTGAACATTTGGATGGGAAGGAGTTGAGAGGTTTGTGGATGTCTCACCGGGACTGTCGGAAATCTGTACACAGATCTCGTAATCTTTTGGGGGAGGTAGGTCGGCACTACATAGCTTGGATGTCCTCAGACAAAGAGTTTCTGCACTAGACCCTGTACACCAACAAGTTGGAGGAACATCGAGCACTCTCCGTGTGTGTGTGTGTTTGTATTTGTGCCCGTGTGACTGGGTGGCTGAATTCTTCAACCTGAGCACCTCAAATTGTTGAAATCCCCAAGCCCTTGCACTCAAGCTGCGTCGAGGCGCCTTCGTGATTCACATCGGACAGCTCTGCAAACGGCGGTCGAGCGCAGGTGGGCCCAACAAGAGGAGCTTGAGCGAGGAGTCAGGGATGGTAGGCAGAAGCAAATCCATACCGTCTCTCTCTCTCTCTCTCTTTTTCTCTCTTCCTCTCTATAGCTACATATGTGATATATACATAGCACATATATATATATACACGTGTATGCATGTACGTACCCATGTATCTGTGTGTCATTGTAAGTATGTATGTACACAGGCCTATTATATATATTTATGTGTTTGTAAATGTATATGTAATTATATGTAAAGGACGGTATATACAGACATACATACGTACTTACATAAGTACTTCCATAACATGTTTGTATATTTAGGCGTTCTTCTGCCCTGCTGAAATCCTGGGAGAAACTCTCAGGGCGACTGCTTCCAGTAATCGGCACCTCTCGGTTGGCGGCGGTGCCACGGTGCGCGACCTCTGCAAATAGCTTCCTGGGGGTGCCGGGGTTCAATGATTAATTCGAGAATCCGGTCCCTCACAAAGCTACGGTTCGGATTCGGAGCCGGACTGCTGCATGTCTTGTTCGTGACTGTTCGTTCTAATGCAGATCTTTGCAAAGCGGCTGTGGGGCACCGAGGCGACATGGGGTCTCATGAAAGCTGTCCTGTCCCAATTGCATATGGCATACAGAGCATCACGTACACCCCGGAATTCATGCAGTCCTGGTCGCCAACGGCGGCAGCGATCCTTCCGATGCCGTGCAGTTTTTTTGTCTTCTGGACTTCCAACTTCGGAAGTGTTTCTTATGTGTCGCCATTGGGTACAGTGGGGTTGTATTTTCAGCCTGTACTGGTATCACAGACCACAGGATAGCAGAGAGCTCTGGACTCGTGCGACTCCAGTCCAACACGGAGGTGAATCGCCGCCCATCTTCTGCGATCGAAACTCGCGGTGTGGTCCACGTGGAGGCAAACCGCCGCCCATCTTCTGCGATCGAAGCCCGTGGTGGCTTTGCAGAATCGGCGTAAGTTTCGTGCTTCGTTTATATCTAAGCAGGCATGACAGCCCTTGGCAAGAGAACGCTACTAACATTCAAATCCTGTTATATGCATACACGCAGCATTGTAACATGTGTTTTGTGTATGTTTGGATATCTGTATGTACTATGTAAGTTGTACACATACATAAATTGTTGTGTGTGTTTCAGTGTGCGCACGTGTGGGCACATGGGTACCTGCAGCATGCATATACAGACATACATACTTTCGCAGGAGCGAAGGAAGTATGCATGCACGTCCTCCAAGGAGAAGGACCAAGCCCAATCTTTGCCGAGATCTAACTAGCAGCAACAAAAAGCATATTTTCCGAGGTCCAGGGAAGCGGGCCGAGTCGGCAGAGGCCGGGCGTCCTTACTTTGGGTGTTCCGCGCTGACTGGGGGATGCCAGTTCCACTTCGTTGCGACGCTCCTCCTGGATCGCACCCTACTAAAGTCCAAGTTGCGAGTCGAAGCCCAGGGTTCTGTTTAGCGACGGGAAAAATTATCTTCCGCAGTCAACATGCAGGCATGGCAATGACGGTGACCAATCGTCATAGACTAATCCCACAAGCCTGCTGAGCAACATCCAGGGGTCTGCTGCCTTCTTTCCATCGCTGCCTGAATCATGGTTTATGCGGACTTGTTCAGGTTGCTCAGGAGGGGAACCCGTAAGACAGAAAGACAGGCAGGAGACGTGGTTTGGTTTTGCAGCTTGCAATCCAATCGAGGCACTTGTTGCGGCACAACTCGGACCACTGATTTTTATACACTCCCTCGTTTTGGTACGACTCCGCTCAATTCACTTCGTCTGCTATCAGAGAGCTAGGTTGCCAGAGTACTCTGTGCTTCAGTGATAATATTGTTCGTGTTCGATCTAAAACCCTAGACTCTAAGCCCTGCGGCCCTAGCATGTTCTAGCGATCATGTTCGATTTTCGGGGCTTTAGCCGCCACACCTGGAAGGTCCAGGCCTCAATCCCAACCCGCAGCACTCCTAAACACTTATCAAACACCCTTTATCATCATAACAGTATATAGGTTGTTCAAGTATTCTCGTGGTATCCCCTATGTAAGGACTTCGGGATCCTTCATCGTAGCATTGCTGCGACAGCCTTGCTTGTTTGAGTACATTTGCCTAAGCACGGTTACCGCTGTGTGTTCTTGTGGTTCTGAGGTTGCATTTTCGGCATCGATGTGACACTACTCATTACTACTCATGCACGCTTTGCCACAGCTCCGGAGATGGTGATTTTGATGCCAGACCGTACGAGGATTGCAGGCTCTTACTTCTTCGTCTAGGGCTAACGCCCCCGCAGGCAGGGCGACGGCGACCTGCATTCGCAGCACGAGCTCGGGATGGGCGATCGGATTCAGAGGCGCGTCTCTGTCCGATAGCTTAGGGTTGTGGTGCTTCAGAGGTCGGTGGTTGAGAAACTTGCAGGCCTGCACTAGCGAGTAGCTGGAACCTTGGTGCTTGTGCAGCTGCATTCGCTTGATGTTAGGGGCTGTGGCTGTGGCTGTGCTCAAGCTGAATCGACATTTCATTCTACTAGTATGGACTTGTGGGAGGGGATTGGGAAGCCCTAAGCCTAAACGCCCAACCCTAAACCATTGCATCAACCTAGGGAAAAGTAGAGATGTAAGCAGAATGCCTTCAAGTACCGATGAAGTGCGCTTTCCCAAACCTTCGACTGTCGACCCGAGAATGCGCGATTGCAGCGCGGATGCGGCTTCCTTCAGGGCACTTACTTTTAAGCAGACTGTCCGCGCAGGACTAATGTGAGTTCACTGTTGTATTCAAACCATATCCGTCGTTTGAGATAGTCCCTAAACCCTACATGGAACTCGACAAACCCGAACATCTGTGAGCCAGGTGCCTCGATCTCAGGTTCGGCGTGACTCCTCATCTTCCCGCCACCTGGCACAACAGAGAGGTGCCCTACTGACCCCGAGTAGTAGTACTAGTAGTAGTAGTAGTAGTAGTAGTAGCAGTAGCAGTAGTGGCAGTAGTAGCAGTAGTAGTTGTAGCTGCAGCAGCAGCAGTAGTGGCAGTAGCAGTAGTAGCAG